ATATTATTTTAGTCCACCATTGTCATGTTATTTTACAAAAAGAGCCATGATGAGAGAGCGCTGTTTACTTGCTTCGAAAGAAGATTCTGATTGTTTCTGCAGCAGTTGTCATAAGGTGGGGTAAGATCCTGGATCTGCTACTAAACAGCATTTTTTAGCAATTTACTAAGAATCAAGTAATAAACAGTTACATGATTTAGGGCACTTACATACTCTTCAGAACTACTTTTTGCAAATTGGAACACTTACCATTGCGTATATACTCACTTATTTAAAAAAAAAAAAAAAAGCTTCTCAGACCTGTGTACTTGCAAGTTAGGTCAGGTCTGCTGTATTTTAAACTTGTAAAAGTTAAATCTGAAACTATTCAATTTTGGTAGTAGTGTGCCTAAATTTTTATTGAGGTGTATCAGAACAGCAGGTGATCATGTACTCTGTATATGGTCTTGTACTGACCATAGTATCTGGGAACTTTCCGGTTAAGTGGCGTGATTAATGCTGTCATATATGGTTTATTCTTTGTCTCACCTTCTCCCAAGGGGAAAATTGTGTGCTCAGTGCATAATTTGCATTGGATCATAATTGTTTCACTACTTAAGTAGAGAGGGGGATGAGGCAAAGTCTAAGCGTTTACTCTGGATTATATCCTGATAAATTTGGTATGAATTGTGGCTTTCAAATTTATCTTGTAATTTAGCCAAGTACCCAGGATATTGTCCATATTGTTATCCTTTGTTGTGTTGCTTTGTAACAATGTAAGTTGCATTAAGTATGTTTTTGGTGAAAACTGGGATAATTAGAGGATATCTTCTAAAATAGTTAACTTCAATATATAAATTCGTGATAATCTGACTTGAAATCATTATGGTGAGCTGAAATGTAACTCACGTCACAACATCCTGCTTAACGTCTAGAGTTTTCTTATCCAGTGATTGATTTGGCTAATAGCTGTAAATTCTGGATGTAGTGACATCTCAGATAAAGATGGTTTCAGTGCTGTCTTTCAGTATCTTTATTTATTTTGCGTGTGCATAGTCGTCTGGCCAAGCGATGGCCTCTTCAGTGGCGTGATGCTGTTCTACAAGGCCACCGCTGAACCTCGTCAGCAGGCATTCATTGGCCATGTGCATCATCGTCTGTGTTGCGCCACAGCTGCACAAAGGGCTGTCACAAAGGCTCCAGCGATACTGGTTGGCTGCACAGAGACCTTGCCCGGTCCAGAACCTGTTCAACAGGGACCACTAGCGATGGGGCAGGTCAAAACCAGGCAGGCAAATTGTGGGGTCGGCGGCAAGGAACTGGTTGGGGATTATAACAGATATCCATTCCTCTCGCCAGAGTGTTTCTGCCCTAACATCCTGGCATGGCGGATGAGACCATAATGGGCAACGTGATGGCAAACATGCAGCTGGTGTTTTAAAAGGTCATTGTGCAGCGGCAGACTTGGGTTGGCGCGTACTTTTTCCAGTAACTTTCCCAGTGGCAACCTCTCATCTGATATGAAGAGGAGCAATATTGCTCAGAACTGGAAGCCATGGGAGTGGAGTCGGACGCAGGGTGTCAGAGATGATGCTCATGGCGGCATGTAACTGCATATCCACCAGTTTGGTGTGTGACGATTGATTCCAAACTAGTGCGCGGTACTCCGCCACTGTCTTTCAGTGGTTTGCCAAGTCACTTTGCATGTCCTTTTTTAAAGTTTTAACTGTAGACCTGAATTGCAGGGCAATGGTGTAATGAAGTGAGCTTTTTAGAGGAAAGAGGAAATGTTAAAACTGGGCTTAACCTGGTGTGGTCCAGTTGATAACTTCTGATTTAGATTTGGTTGTCATTGACATGCTGTGTCCATATTGTCAAGAGGTTGTAGCTTTGTTGAATTCATATCAATTTCTTGCATTTTTGATCGTTTGGTGGAGACGTTTTAGCAACAATGAAAAACGAGTGAATACTGGACGATTGATACAAAATCCTTACATCCTTTGAGCCTAACTCTGAATGTGAAAGCTGCTAGACTATTTTTACGCTTGACTGCAAACCACTCCTCACCTCAGAAGTGATAACTAATTTACTGTGCAAACCATCCAGATAATGCAGGAAAATAGAACTTCAGTGACTAATTGCATCAGGACATCATTTTTAACCAATCCATATGATCAGAATTAAAGGCTGCATATTTTATGTGAAGGTCAGAAGAGGAGGCGGTGTTATGTGTTGTAAATGGTGGATTTTAGTGGATTCAGGTAATGAGAAGGTAAAACAACAGCTGTAGGTTGTGTGAGCAGAATGGATTGATTTAAATAAAAGTAATTTAAGTCAAGTGGAAAGCCTTGATTTAAATGATTTTAATCAACTTCTCCATTGGTACTTCTGATAATTTTCTGAAGAAAGGTGCACTCTCATTGGTTGAAACAACCATTAAAATGCTGATTTACAACTAAACAGAGCCTTTACAGTAGATTTGATATAGTGTACAGCAAAAAGATGTAACTATATATATACATTTATTTAAGAAGTTATATAGCTCATTATTTTCAGATTCTTATTAATTGTATGTTTTAGTATGTTGGAAAAGGGTGAATGATATATTCCTTATTTGATATATGCCATATTTATGAAGCTTGACCTCAAAAGTTAGATATTTTTTCCCCTGATTTTTCTTTATATAGAAAAACAGCCTTTAATTTAAAGTTTTTGATCAAGGTGTATGGATTCAGTACGTTTATTTTTATTTAAATGTTTTAAGAAATTATAGTAAGTGTAGGCCTTAACATTTTTGTATTAAATTCAGATTTCATTTTAAACCGGCTTATTTTTAAAAATAAATGTATTGTTATTTATATTACAACAACAAAATCTCCCAACTTGTGTATCTAAAATAAAAAAAAATTCTGATTTAAATTTAAAATAACTGATTTGTACACTTGAGACTTGTGGAAGCCAGCCTCTGCGCTCAAAATTAATGTGCCTTGTGTGTCCAAATACCTGATTTGTGGATGTGATCAGGTACGTAGACATTCAAATAATCTTTCTTGGGTCTGAAAATTATTGTGGGAGCAAAAGGGAAGCCCGCAAAAGGTAGGGCTCAGAATTTTGACCAAAATATTTGCATGCCAGGGCATCTGTACTTTCTAGAGTTAAGTCTTGTAGATGCTCATATTACACAGCAGATGGCATATTCAGTGTCTTGCTTAATTTTTGAAATACATTTCTTATTAATAAAGTGAAAATTTTATTTCCTTATTGCTGTTGATAGGTTGTGTTTTGTGGCCCTGAGTGTCTAAGAAGTTTAATGTAGGGAGTATGTGATTGCACTGTATAATGAAACCTGGACTTTAATGTGTTCACTTTAATAAATGTTCACATATATTAAAACGTTTAGTTGGACTCTTCCTCTGTCTAATAAACTATTGAGCAGTTGCCTGTAAGAACATACAAAAAAATCATATCAGTAAGTCAGAGCCTGACTTTTGGCTAGCTGTGAGGGATGCAGGAGCCAGATGAAGTGATTAGAACTTAAAAATTATGTAGTATGGAAAAGTTACTGAAAAGTTAGACGAAAGTTTGTGCAACTTCCCAGTCAGCTGAATGGCATAACCAGTTAATTCATTTTAAAAGAAGGAAAAAATATTGGATTGGAATAGTTTTGTTGTAGGAACTGTTTTGAGTTAGTCTCTTATGGTTTTAGATCAGAGGTGGGGAAACTATGGCCCGCGGGCCACATCCGGCCCACGGGACCGTCCTTCCCGGCCCTTGAGCTCCCGTCTGGGGAGGCTAGCACCCGGCCTCTTCCCTGCTGTCCCCCCTCCCACGCAGCCATGCCGCTGTGCGGCGGCTACTCCTGCCGCTCTGAGCGGCATGGTAAGGGGGTGGGGGCATTGGATAAGGGGCAGGAGGTCCCAGGGGGTAGTCAGGGAGCAGGGGGCGGTTGGATAGGCGTGGGAGTCCCAGGGGGCCTGTCGGGGCAGGGGCGGGGGACAGGGAGCATGGGGGTGGGGTTTCCGGGGGGGCGGTTAGGGGCGGGGGTCCCGGGAGGGGGCGGTCAGGGTACAAGGAGCGGGGGTGTTGGATGGGTCAGAGGTTCTGAGGGGGGCAGTCTGGGGATAGGAAGTGGGAAGGGGCAGATAGGGGGCAGGGTCCAGGCTGTTTGGGGAGGCATAGCCTTCCCTACCCAGCCCTCCATAAAGTTGCGCAACCCTGATACGGCCCTCGGGCCAAAAAGTTTGCCCACCCCTATTTTAGATCAATATTTTTTAGTGACTGTTTTTTCTCCTTGTGCTTTTATTCCAACAGCTGATATAATCTGGAAACAGATCCCAGATGTGTACATTTTAGGTGTTGGGTATTCTCTCTGGAGGGCCCTTGAATTTGGAATTTTCTTCTCCCTTTCTTGGCAGGGCCTGAGTTTTTGTTGACTTTTCTGCTGGTCTGTTGCTTAATTAGCTTTTCTCTCAGGGGGTTAGGTTGAAAAGGGAAGTCTCTTGTGATAAGGGAGGGGAGTTCTATGTATTCGGGTGATACTTTGTTATAGAATTTTAAACTTTTAGTTAAAATTTAGTTTAGGCCTATGGTGTTGGGTTTGTTCTGAGGTAATCTGGCTTTACTGATGGGGATGATGGTATTAATGCCCCAAAACAAAAACTTCTCAAACTCTGAAGTGTCTGTAAAATAGTTCTATAAAATGAAATACATGAGTTAAGGAGAACTTGTGGTTTAAGAGTTTCATTGGCACTTGCCTGTAGTGGATGTATAAAGTGTGAAGAGAGAGTGAGTGTGTTCATTTATTTTTGGCTTTGTGACTGTTTGTTTGTTGCCATACATTTTTCTTAAATATAATTTAAAAATTACACGATTGACTGCAGTATTATATTGTGCTTTTATTGCAAGCAGATTGGTTAGTCTCTAAGGTGCCACAAGTACTCCTTTTCTTTTTGCGAATACAGACTAACACGGGCTGTTCCTCTGAAACCTGTTTTATAAAAGTGATTTTCTTTTCCTCTCAGTTTATTCCCCAGATATGCCTTCACGGCTTCCAATCCAAGACATTTTTGCTGGACTGGTTACAAGTATTGGCACAGCAATACGATACTGGTTTCACTATACACTTGTGGCCTTTGCATGGTTGGGAGTTGTACCTCTTACAGCATGTAAGTGTTAAGTTTTTGCATTGAAATACTTTCATAATGATCTTATAACAAGCTTGCGAATAGCCATCAGCTTTAATACTTCTCATGTGTTATCAACTTTGTGACTTGACCACTCATTTTATTTCAGATGTTTATATTTTGCTGTATTTTAATTACTTTATCTAAGAAACTATTCAATTCATAAACCAATAGCACAGTGCAGACAATAGCTAATAGATAGGAAAACAGAGCCCATGTTAAGGGAATATTAATGAAGTGGCTCTTTTACTTATTGAATTTTTCAGAGTAAGTTTTTATTTAAAATTTTAAAATAAAATGAAACTTAAATTTAAAATTAATCCTTACCCTTTTTTAGTTCTCCTTACCTGCCCATATAAAAGATGCACATAGGTACAACTTGATGTAGTTTTCAGTCTAAACAAAGTTGTGCACATATGCTTTCCACTTTTATAGTGTGTGCAATTATATGAATCATAGAATATCAGGGTTGGAAGGGACCTCAGGAGGTCATCTAGTCCAACCCCCCGCTCAAAGCAGGACCAATCCCCAATTAAATCATCCCAGCCAGGGCTTTGTCAAGCCTGACCTTAAAAACTTCTAAGGAAGGAGATTCCACCACCTCCCTAGGTAACGCATTCCAGTGCTTCACCACCCTCCTAGTGAAAAAGTTTTTCCTACTATCCAACCTAAATCTCCCCCACTGCAACTTGAGACCATTACTCCTTGTTCTGTCATCTGACTGGCTGTTAAAACCCAAAATAAGTTTCAAGTTAGTTGTCTGTCTTGGGTTTTAATTTTTTGCCAATTCAAAAAGTAGGTAGTGTTTTTAAAAACTATTTCATAAGAATGTGAAGTTAATCCCAAATTCATTAGAAAGGAGAAACTTCTGATGAGTAAAATTTGAGAGCAAAAATCCTTGACTATGTCTTTGGTAAAATATGGCAATAAAACTGCTCTTAAAAAATTAGCAAAGAGGTGTCAATAATAAAGCAGGTAACATTGTAAATAAGAAGCAGGCAGCAGTATCTCCCATAAATGCAAACAAACATGTTTCTCTTAGCGATTGTCTGAAAAAGAAGTAGGACTGAGTGGACTTGTAGGCTCTAAAGTTTTACATTGTTTTGTTTTTGAGTGCAGTTAAGTACCAAAAAATAGTTAAATCTACATTTGTAAGTTACACTTACAGGATAAAGAGATTGCACTACAGTACTTGTATGAAGTGAATTGAAAAATACTATTTCTTTTGTTTATCATTTTTACAGTACAAATATTTGTAACCAAAAATTATAATATAAAGTGAGCACTGTACACTTTGTATTCTGTGTTGTAATAGAAATCAATATATTTGAAAATGCAGAAAACATCCAAAAATATGTAATAAATTTCAATTGGTATTCTATTGTTGAACAGTGCGATTAATCACAATTAATTTTTTGAGTTAATTGAGTGAGTTAACTGCGATTAATCAACAGCCCTAGTCTCAATCCAAAGGGCCATCCCAAAACAAACTATATTTTTTGTAATGTTTAACAAAACACCCCTGGAATTAAGATAGGTGCATGCTAGCTGTCACCCTGATAGTATATTCTATCCCTTTCTCCTACCCTTCTAGATTGTCTCCTCTTTGATGCCAGGACCTTGTTTTCCTCTATATTTGGAAGTGCCTAACATTCTACTTGTTACTGCAATGTACAGAAGTTATTAGGGCCCTACCACATTTGTGGCCATGAAAAATAAGTCATGGACCATGAAATCTGGTCTTTTGTTTGCTTTTACCCTATACTATACAGATTTCACGGAGCCAGACCAGTGTTTCTCAAATTGGGGGTCCTGACCCAAAAGGGAGCTTCAGGGGGGTCACAAGGTTATTTTAGGGGCATCGTGGTATTGCCATCCTTACTTCTGCGCTGCTTTCAGAGCTGGGCGGCTGGAGAGCGGCAGCTGTTGGCGGGGCGCCTAGCTCTGAAGGCAGCAACCTGCCAGCAGCAGTGCAGAAGTAAGGGTAACAATACCATACCATGCCACCCCTTACATCAGCACTGCTGCCTTCAGAGCTAGGCAGCCAGAGAGAGAAAGCTGCTGACTGAGGGCCCAGCTCTGCAGGCAGCAGCACTGAAGTAAGGTGGCAATACTATACCACGCCATCTTTACTTCTGCGCTGGGATCCTTCAGAGCTGGGATCCTGGCCAGCAGCCGCTGCTCTCCAACTGCCCAGCTCTGAAGGCAGCACCGTCGCCACTAGCAGCGCAGAAGTAAGGGAAGCAGTACCACAACACTCTCTACAATAACCTTGATACTCCCCTACAGTTACAACACAGTGAAATTTCAGATTTAAATAGCTGAAATAATGAAATTTATGATTTTTAAAATCCTATGACCGTGAAATTGATGAAAATAGACCATGAATTTGGTAGGGCCTTAGATATAAGAACCAAGATGAAAATGTTTCCCTTTAAATTGGTTTCTGTGTGTAGAATGAGTGACTGCCAAAGCTGAACTTTGCATAACTATTGTGTAATCTCTCCCATTCCTTCTCTCTCCTTATCTTTCCCTTCCTAATCCTTTTATCCCTTAATTCACCTGTTTCCACTGACTTGTCCTCCCACCTCATTTCCCCATATCTCCATTCATCATCTCCTCTTCTCCAATCACAGTTCTGTCTCTCTCCTTTGTCCTTTCAGTCGTCCTACCCCTCTCTCCTATTCTTCCTCTCTCACTTCAAGTATGTCTATACTTTGAGCTGGGGGTATGACTCCCAGTTCAAAGAGACATACCTGCGATAGATCTAATTGAGCTAGCATGCTAAAAAGAGTGTAACTGTGGCAGATGGAGGGGCTGGTCACCTCAAGTATCATACCTCTCAATCCCCAGACTCTGAAATGAGGGACAGTGACCATCAAAATGAACAACAGTAAGGGACAACACACCTTGAAATGAGGGACACAGTGAGGGATCTCACCTTTTTTTTTTTTAATTGAACAGTTTTATTTTAAAAATGTATATATGTACAAGCATACGAATAGCCTGAAACTTACTATAATGAAACTAAATTATTCTGAGTGTGAAGAGAATCCTTTATTTTATTGTAAATAGTAGCTTTCTACATAAAGTCTAGTGGCTCAGATGCTCACTCTTGTCAGAGACTCCTAGCCTGCCCCCTGCCTACAGAACTCTGCTCCTCTCCCCCTTAAATTATTGAATAAAAGTGAAACTTTTCTCCATATGCCGACTCCCGAAGCTAATCCCAGGGGACCTGTGGTAGCATCAGTACAAGTTGGGGTATCAGAGTAGAGTGGTAAATAAAGCAAAGTGGAGCAACGCTTGGTCACCTGTTCAAAGAAATAAGTATTTTTGTAGAAATAAGCACATCTTTGAAGTGATTCATTTTATAAGATAGGCTTTATGAATGTGTTAATGTTTCATTTTTGGGGTTCTCTTTCTGAAGAATGGCAGAAGTGCTGGCTATAGGCTTTAAATATCACACCATAAAATGTTAAGATTCCTAGAGTATGTTCAGTATAGTCAACTTACTTAAAAAGGCTGGTGTTCCATGTACTGTGTGTGCATCAGGAGAGGCCTTGATCCTTGTGCAAGTTAGAGATTTACGGTCAACTCAAGCTTGTATCTTGCAAGGACAGCCATCCACGCCAGTGCTGGGACTTATGTGAATAACAACTATATCGTGATACCTTTTGTGACTTATGTCTGAATGAAATCTTTTTGCACATCTGTATTGGTTTGCACCAATTGGTTTTAGCTTCTGTCCCAGAGGTAAATGGTTACTTGGGCTAAGAAACAATCTGGAATAAACTAGTAATGGCCGCTTTCAAGAGTGTTCTTCCCTCATAACTGAGGGTATTTACAGCACTTTGTTTCTTTTATACAGGCCGTATCTACAAGTGCTTGTTTACTGGCTCCGTGAGCTCACTATTGACACTGCCGTTAGATATGCTGTCAACGTAAGTACTAACCAGCCTGATATACGTGACTTTTTAACTAGATGCCTGTTAAAGTTGTTGCTTTTGGTACTCTCAATTCCCAGTTCTTTTTCATTATCCTTTTACTTTACACCTTCTTACACTGGCTGCTACTACTATCATCATCTTTGCCGTAGCAAGGAGAACTAGCCAGCTGTTTTCACGGCTGTGCTACAACTCTCCTGTTTTTGAAGTGCTGATGTGCAGGATTATTTGAAGGATGAACAAATCAGACTTATAGAACTGGGCCTGGGTAGTGCTGTTTCATATTATAGACTTATGTGGCTTATTCAGCCTTAGGAATACTTGCTATGGTGTAAAGTTGCACTTTAATTAAAGAAAACTAAGTTTTTAAAAAATTAAACTGCAGCGGAGCCTATTCTAAAGGTTTTAGAATTATAGCCATCTTTTATGTAATTTTCCTATTCATTAGTTTATATCATATGACCTTCTAAAATATGGGATCCTTCACGATTTCCCTATTGCTTAATTACATTTTATATTTCTATGTACTGAATTTAATCTACCCATAGGGATTCCATAAAGATTTGAATTGATTGGCCTCTCTTTTAACTGGTCATTTCAGTGTTCCACACATCGAACTCTATATAATATTATCACCCTTGTGGTTTTTTTGCTTGTTTGTGTTTTTTTTCCTTCCAGATCATTATTAAAATAATTAGATCCATACTGGTCCATACTAGTCACCAATTCAGTCTCAGATTGCTTTTATATTTTAACTGAATTGTTTATGAGGTTAATGCAGATGGATGCCAGGCACTGACAGAGCCAGTTGTAAGCCAAGCAGACATTGAACAAAGTTCTGCTAGCTCCCCTTGCATTTTGGCCAATGTGTTCAATTCTGCCTTAAAGCACCCAGTCTTGGAGTTTTGAGTTACATTTCAAGTCAGGCTCTGTTGACATCTGTCAAGGTTCCTTCCCCACTCTGAACTCTAGGGTACAGATGTGGGGACCTGCATGAAAACCTCCTAAGCTTATTTTTACCAGCTTAGGTTAAAACTTCCCCAAGGTACAAACTATTTTCCTTTTTCCCTTGGACTTTATTGCTGCCACCACCAAACGTCTATCAGATATATAACCAGGAAAGAGCCTGCTTGGAAACGTCTTTCCCCCCCAAAATCCTGCCAAACCTATGCCCCCTTTTCTGGGGAAGGTTTGATAAAAATCCTCACCAATTTGCATAGGTGAACACAGACCCAAACCCTTGAATCTTAAGAACAGTGAAAAAGCAATCAGGTTCTTAAAAGAAGAATTTTAATAGAAGAAAAAGTAAAAGAATCACCTCTGTAAAATCAGGATGGTAAATACCTTACAGGGTAATTAGATTCAAAACATAGAGAATCCCTCTAGGCAAAACCTTAAGTTACAAAAAGACACAAAACAGGAATATCCATTCCATTCAGCACAGCTTATTTTCTCAGCCATTTAAACAAACGGAATCTAACACATATCTAGCTAGATTACTTACTAAGGTCTAAGACTCCATTCCTGTTCTGTTCCTGGCAGAAGCATCACACAGAGAGCCTTTGTTTCCCCCCCCCGCCTCCAGCTTTTGAAAGTATATTGTCTCCTCATTGGTCATTTTGGTCAGGTGCCAGCGAGGTAATCCTAGCTTCTTAACCCTTCACAGGTGAAAGTGTTTTTCCTCTGGCCAGGAGGGCTTTTAAAGGTGTTTACCCTTCCCTTTATATTTATGACAACATCCTTTTTTTTTTTTTTATGGGGACAGAAACTCACTAGGATGAGAACACAGTACAGTTTTCCCCTGTGACCCACTAATAAATCCAGGTTTGAACTCATCTTTTGTGGGGGGGGGGCAGGAAACTGAAGCCAGACTACTTTTTCTCATATGCTCTTGGTTTTTGATATCCAACCATTTCCTCTCCAGGTATAGGTCCTGATTTTAGCAAGCCTTGTCTAACTTAAGCAGTCGTTTCGTTTGGACCACTTGTGCTTAAATACCTTGCGCACTTGGAGCCAGAAAGTGTTGTGAGTGGTTGAACAAGCATAATAGAAGACAGTGCCGAGATGGGGGAGAGAGTGGGGAGCAGCTTCTGAAGCAGATCTAAGTTATGGAAAGGGAAAAAAGCAGCAGTTCAGACAGGTTCTGCCATTTTACATTTTGGTTAGGTTAGTTCAGAGGATAAAGCTTCTCAGAAAATGGCAAATATTGTATGTTTAGTCCTTAGCACTTAAACACTTCACATACTATATAATGTAGAATGAAAACCTGCTAGCAGGAGTCTAGTCTTCCAGAAGGTCACCTACCTTTTATTTTCTAACTTGCATTTTTTCTTTTCATTTGGTTGATCTTTGCAACTTGCCCTACTGATTCCTTCCCTGACACCCCTCTTCATTAAATACTTGGAAAATTACCTTTTGTGCCACCATCTAATAATTTAACATTATTGACTTAATTCTGTAATCATTCTAATTAACATTTGTTTGTGCAATAGCTGATTCTAACTCCTTGGGGGTTCATGGAGATTGAAAGGAAAATTGAAGCTGTCAAGCAGAACTTGTACTGAATCAAATCTGAGATGAACATTGCTAAACTAAACTAAATTGTTTCTTCTAGAAATTTAATTTGCGAGTATCTTCTGTGTTTCTCTTGTTATTCTTAAGGACTATTTTCCTTGAGTTTCTCCTCCTGCTTTATCCTGTAGTGAGTCAAATCCTCTTACAGAAGTGTCTCCATGGAATAAGTAGTTCAAGTGGTGTCCCTGTGGATGCCCCACTTTATGGGGCACCTCTTCACTTTTGATTGGAGATTTTTGGTAGCAGTGTTTCTTCTCCTGGTACATGCACCCTACACATACTCATGCTCTGTACCAAGGCTATTTTGGGCTGTGTGGGTGAACTGCCCACAGTTCCTTCTCAGCCATGCTGTCTACAATATTACTGTTTGTTGTGTACCTGTTTCCCCCTTTTATTAGTATTTTTGCTTTATAGATGGCTCTTCATACTAGCAATAGTAGTAGGTTTAGTACTTTATAGTTGGAATGTTTGTTCTCCTTTTCCTCTTTCCTTTTTTCTTTAAAAAAAAAAAAACAGCACATTTTTGTTTTTTCCTTTTCCCCTGTTGAGTGACTTGAACAACTTTCTCTTCTGTTGACGATACCGGGCTCCCTGAAGATTTAAAAGGTGCCTCTTTTGTTGAGAAGCAGTCCATATGAGTGGTGGTCACTTGCAACGAATACAATACTCTCACGTTCCAAGCAAGTGTAAAATCTGCTCTCCTTTTAAGGGTAGATCCTGTAGAAACAAGGAAATTAAATATAAACTATTAATGAGCGAGCAAGCCTTAAGACCAGCTTCTGACCAGATCACGGTCACCTAGAGCTTCCAAGGGGAAGATGGCACCAAAACCTTAGTCTTTCAACACTATCTTTGACTAAGTTACCAATAACTTCACTGCTCGTACTGAGAGCTTCCCACTCCAGGTATAAGGAAGGAGATAAAAGGAGCAAAACAGAGTTCCTCATTAAAGAAGATCTGGTTAATGGAGACCACAGGCCCCAAGAGGAGTGCAGGTGAGGCTCAAAGTACTTTGGGTACTGTGAAACATGTCAAGTCTTCAACTAAGTCACGTACCGCTGCAGTAAGGGGCTCGATACCGAAGACTGCTATTATGAAGAGAGGTTTCAGAGGAACAGCCGTGTTAGTCTGTATTCGCAAAAAGAAAAGGAGTACTTGTGGCACCTTAGAGACTAACCAATTTATAAACCATAAAACTATAACCAATAAATTGGTTAGTCTCTAAGGTGCCACAAGTACTCCTTTTCTTATTATGAAGAGAATGGCTTCAATGGAATCTTTGACTCCCTCGATACCAATGTCAGTGCCTACCACAACAGCCTCTGTAACATCATTGGTGCTGATATCGAGTTCTGTTGAACTTCCAGTACTGCAGAAATTCCTGTACCCAAAAGACTTTATGGTGCCAAATGAATCTGAATCTCTGCTCCTTGCAATCTCAGAGACACCTCTTGGTAGTGAGGTTGGCTGGGTCACTGACTGCTCATGTTTCTGGGAGTTCTACCTCTTCTCCATCTTTGACAATCTACAAGGAGGAGTTCTTACCTCCTGTACAATATGTGGAGGAACATTCTGATTCAGTCTCTGAACTTTCTGTTAAAGGATCATCAGTTTGTTCCAGGAGACATTATTCCCTGTTGCAGCTGGACACCAGATCCCTGCCTGCCAACTCTTGGGGTCACCAGCTTGGATTCCTCCCTCCAGGCCTTATGGGTCTCCCTCATTGGCCTTATTGGGATCGAGGGGCAATGTACCTCCAGCAATTTTGAGGAACCTCAGCTCAAAGAAGACTCCTAGATTTGAAGGCCAGAATGGACCATCATGATCATCTAGTCTGACTTCCTACACATTTCAGGCCACAGAACTTCACACACCTGCTCCTGTAATGGACCCCTAGCCTCTGGCTGAGTTATTGACATCCTCAAATCATGATTGAAAGGCATCCAGTTACAGAGAATCCACCATTTACTCCACTTTAAACCTGCAAGTGACCCCTGCCTCATGCTGCAAAGGAAGGTGAAAACCCCACACGGTCTCTGCCAATCTGACCTAGGAGAAAATTCCTTTCCGACCTCAAATGTGGTGGTCAGTTGGACCCTGAGCATTTCAGCAAGACCCAGCAGCCAGACACCCGGGAAAGAATTCTTTGTAGTAACTCAGAGCCCTTCCCATTTAGTGTCCCATCACTGACTGTTAGGGATATTTACTACCAGCAGTTGCAGATTGGCTACATGCTTTTGTAGGCAGTCTCATCATACTGTCCACTCCATAAATTTATCAAGCTACATCTTGAAGCCAGATTTTTTTGGGTTTTTTGCCCCCTAACTTGGAAGGCTGTTCCAGAACTTCACTCCTCTGTTGGTTAGAAACCTTTGTCTAATTTCAAGCCTAAACTTGTTGATGGCTAGTTTATATCCATTTGT